TGCGGTGCCTGTCGTGTGCGCGCTGCTACCTCAACTACTGCCGTGTGGTGCGGGTGCTCATAACAGTTAATGCATGGTGTGATGAGCGAGCTGTCCTTTGTCCCAACGTTCTTTGTCTGGGTGGTTTATTATGCTTAGGAAATTGCCGATTTCCTAGAAAACTATGAAACAACACACTGTGGCTCGTTCTTCAGCGGAAGCAGAGTATTGGTCTATGGCCACAGCCACATGTGAATTAAAATAGCTGAAGGGATTGTTATTGGCTCTTGGAGTTACGCATTCAAACCCAATGCGATTATATTGTGATAGTCAGGCAGCCTTGCATATTGCAACAAACCCAGTGTTTCATGAGCGTACGAAACATATTGAAGTTGATTTCCATTTTGTACGTGATGAGATTCAAAATGGTTGCATTCGTCCTGCTTATGTGTCGACTATCATTCAGCTGGTAGTCGAATTTGAGTACTTTCTCCGCAAGTTTGGCATTCACAATCTGCATGCTCCAACTTGAGGGGGGTGTTAAGATTGAATTAGGAGTCTCCATTGTGATTGAATTAGGAGTCTCCGTTTATTTTCTTTGTATACATCTTCTTATCCTTGTCATGTATAGTTCAGTTAGGAAAGGTAGTTTGAGTCTTTGTAAACGTAGGAGACTCGACTGTATTCATGTATATATATATATATATATGGGCATTCTCAATGAATGAAAACAGAGAAAAAGAACAAACCAGAAAGTATGCACTCCAGCTCTGTGGCCGCCGGCGCCGACATCCAGTTGAACCCAACGACATTAAATCCGGTGCTAAGCATTTCGCCGAGAAAACCAACGACACGACCGCTGGAAGGGAAGTAAGCATAGTAGTTAGGGGGCGCCAAGAAAACCAGGACGCTTACTTCCCTCCATTACAGAATACTTACCTTCTCGCCGTTTGTATGGCCGTTGGCGTCAGCCGGCGGAACTCGAAAGAGTTTATGTCCAGTGGGTGGGTTATGAAAGGGGGCGCCAAGGGTTTCAATTCACAGTAGAACAGGAGAAAGAATAACCAGAATGGGAGAAGAAACCCTTTTGGGCGAGAAGGAATTAACAGACGTGATACAAACGGCATGAAATAGAGATGAATAGGTGGTTCTTCCTTGTGGGTCAGAAATCTTAAAGCTAAATATTTGATGGTGTAGCTTTTCTAGTCTGATGGGTCCTGTAGATAGGCATCATAAAGATTTGGTTGCCAAGGAATTTTTGAATAAAAATGGTTCTTCATATGTTAACAAGATTGTCGAGTGTTTTACTGGTCACTGGGTCGATCTTATTCTAAACGCTCATGTTTTTAGAACTTTGCCCAGTAGCCCTTTTGTTTGGATCAAGTCTATTAATTGGTCCTTTTCGATTAATGCTGCTATTAATTCCATTTGACCTCTTCGATCTAATCCTCTGCCAATTCCAATTAAGGCCTTGATAAGAAGGGTTTGGAAGTTGAAAGTGTTGCCTAGATTCAAGCTTTTTCTTTGGAGGATTATTAGAGGCTTTGTCTCCGGGTGTTCTGTTTTGAATAGTAAAGGTTTTAGTAAATCTCAAGGTTGTGTTTTCTGTTCACAAGAGGAAGAGTCTTTGGTTCATCTTTTCTTTACTTGCCCTTTTGTTCGAGCTGTTTGGTTTGCTTCCCGGCCTTAGGTCTATTGTAAATATTGCTGATTGAATTTCAGATGTAATTATAGTTTATGTGTTTTTACTACACTCTAGAGAAGAGAAAGATGTGTTTCTCTTGGTTATCTGGTCTCTGTTATACTTGGTTAATGAGAAATGCAGCCTTGTTTGGGGGAAATTGTAGATTTATATAGGCTTCTTTATAGAATTAGAAGTTCTTTTGTTGATTGTATCTCTGTTCTAGATTTTGACTCGACTCTATCTGCTTTGGGGTCTTATACATCTTTTTGTATTCCTCCTTCAATGAATCATTTTGTAATCACCTTTTGTGATCTCTTGGATCTTATGGGATTATAGGTTTTCATAATACTAATTCTGAATTTTTGTTTGCCTTAGGAGGATAGTGTTTGATAAAGCATGGGCCATTTGAAGCTGAACTTTTTGCAATTAAGTGTGCTTTGCAATGGGCCGTGGATAAAAACATTAGCTCTGTAGTTGTTAAATCTGACTCGTTGATTTCTCAGTCTTCAATGGGGTCTCTTCTTCTATTCCGTGGACTTTTAGTACTCTTTTGGATACTTTTCTTTCTTCTAAACTGAGGACTGTAGCTTTTTGTCATGTTAATCGGAAACATAATGGTTTAGCTCATTTGATACCTTGTAAAGCTGTCTTTTGTTCGAGAGGTGGTCTGGTTGTCCCCTCCTTTTTTGGACCTTGCTTGCATTTCCTCTTTTCCTTAATAGTAATTGTTTTTTCTTTTATCTATCTATGATGTGAAAAAGATATGGTATGAAAAAAGTTTTAACTAATAATTTTCAGATATCATATCTTTTCCGTATCAGAGTCGACCCCATATATATATATATATATCAATTAGTTAACGGTTCAAAAAAAGTGACTAAGCCCTACTTGGGTTTGGTTTCAGGGTTGCTCCTAGGATATGCAGCTAGGAGCTTTCGCCATGAACCTCATGAGAGCTGTGTGACTAAACCGGCCCCAAAGAAGATTTCTTGTTGAGATTATAACGTATTCAAGGGAATAGAAGATTTTCTGGTTGAATTAGTAATATGATCCAAAGAAAAGGACAGAGCCAAGTTTAAAATATTGATATAATAAAGCCAATACATATTGCGACACACGCGGTGGTGAAGAGAAGTGTTGTAAGACTAACCGGACCAGACAGTTGAACTGGTGGCCCGGTGGCCTTTCTGATTCCCCTGTTAAATAACAGCTTTCATGCTTTGAATGAACTAACAAACCCGTTAACAATAAAACCATGAAGGCATGAACCAGTGAGCATTTAGGCTTATTGTCTGGCCCAAGACTTGTAACATTAAAGGAGCACTAGTCCACGAATACTCATAAGAATCTCAGCCGACATAACCCAATACTTGTATTATCCAGAAAACCAAAACAGAAAAGGTAAACAAATAAAAAAAAAATCAATTCACTATTAAATTTTGTTTTTTTATGTCAATTAGATTATATTTATTTCCTATGAATAACCATGTATATTTAATTCTTCCACTATTTCTCTAAGTTTATCCTGATAGCACACACTTTCACATAAACTTTAAAAACGCCTATTTCTTATGTTTATACCTTCTTTACATGAGTTCCCTAGCGTGTCACGTTGTCTCCTGTTCATTTCACTGTATCATTGTGTTAAAAAATTATTTAAAAAAAAAAAAATGCGTCTTGGTATCAGGCAATACAGGGCTGATAGCCTGATACTCCCGTGATACAATACAAGCCAATTAATACCATGCATGCGACATAAGTGGAATTGCGTAGATAAACCAGCGTTTCATCCGTACTAGCCCCGATACACCATATATTGGCCGTTAATACGAAACTATAATTAGGGGTGTTCATAGGTTGATTCGGTTTGGTTTCAAGATATTTGGCCAACTGAATTGACCTGGTCAGATTGAAAAATTAGTCATCCAAAACCGACCAATAAATGTTAAAAATCAACCAACTCAGGTTGTATCAATTTGGGTTGGTTGGTTGGTTCAACAAATTTAAATTAAAAAAATAAATTTAGAAGTTAAGTTTAAATTAAAAAAATTATATTGGTATTTTAAAAAGTAGATTTAAAATAACAAAATTTACAATATAAAATATTTTAAACTAAAAAATATAGAAATATTTTTCACTTTCCCATATTATATATATATATATATAGTCAGATCAGGTTGTTATTGGTCAACTTACAAATGATCAACCGAAACTGACCCAACCTCTTGCGTTAGCATAAAAACTAGTAAAAACTAAACGGAGATTGGGTTGGGTTGGTCGGTTTGATGAACCCTAACTGTTCTATCAAAATAAAGTATATATTTTTAATTACACACAACATTTGATGTTGGTATTACTTTGTTCTGTTTACCTCTGATTATTTTGTAGGATGTGTATATATACTACTTAGGTATTGCCGTACCTAGTACTTCTCATGTTGGCGTAGCCAATCCCAAATGGTGGTTGGGATGAAGGAAAAGCCAAGTTAGAATTTGGAGGACAAATGCCATGGTGCAATTTTTGCACAGTGAAGCAAAAATATGAACCTACGAAAAGATAATGTGAACATTGAAAATGCAAATAGACATGTAACATCTTTAATGTAATTGGTTCACATTTTTGCTCCATGATACAGTTTCTGCAGTTACACTCTTAATATCTTATTACCATATAAAAACAGATACTTGTAGGGGGTGCAAGTCGGATGGGCTGAGCTAGGTTTTAGCTCAACCCAAGCCCTACCCAATGTCAAGTCTAAACTATTCAACATGAGCCCACCTCGTACTAAAATTTGATGCACTCAAGTTAGGCTCAGGCTTAGGGCTTAAGCCAGACTTGGGTCTGTCAATTAGCCGAAACTAAAAATTGATATACATGTATATATATGTATGTGTATGTGTATATGCATGGCTTATTAAGAAAATTATTCAGATTTGTATGTATGCATGCAAACATGTCTATAGATGCATATATACATGTATATAATTGGGCCAGCCTTGGGCCAGGTTTGGGCTACTCAGGGCTAGGGCCCAAACCCAGCCCAAAAACTTTAAAAGTCCAAACTTTTGCAATCAGACCCAGCCCAAGAGCCAAAATTCCAAGCCTAGCCATGTAAAATTACAAGCTGGTTCGGTCCAAGGTCAGATTGAGCCCACCCAAGCCTTTTGGTGCAGGTCATAAAAGTTGAATTTGATTATATAATATTAACTAGTACCTTTACCTTTTATTTGTGTGCTCATGCACACACACGTGTTAACACGTGCCCTTACACTAGTTATATAAGAACATTTACAATAATCAACTCAAAAAGGTAAGACTGACTGATTAGTCCTATTTAGCTAGTGAGTAGTGAAATGATGTAACTCTCACCTTAGCATATACCAAGTACAAAAGCTATAAGATTTTTAAGTGACTTCTGGGAGTCATCTCCACATAGAGAAAGTGATATTACTTGGTATAAGCGGGTTTCACCCCAGAATCCAATGGCAGGATATCCCAAATAGGAGACTGGAAGGGCGTCCAAGGGAGATATGATATCCATATATATGTTTAGACACGATAATTAAAGGATGGTTAATAGTGAACAAAGGGGATGTAGGGTTAGAGAATTCAACCTCTTCTTTTCTACAACTTCACTTTGTTATAAATATAATTTGCTACGAGATATCATGTATCTATAAGGAATTCATGCAAACCTTTATAGAACAGATTGACGATGGATTTCACCAATGTGGATTCGGCTATCTCTTTAACAGGTTGTATGCCGGTAATTCCTTCACACTGGAGACATCTTCAAGTGCAAGTTCACGCTCCAACTGCGTTCTCGTAGACTTCAGAACCTCCTACAAAAGAAAACCAAGGGATAAAAAGATCAGGCAAGGTATGGCCATAATATAGCATTGAAGTGAAGGAACCCATGAGTTGATCAATTTACATTGAATTCCATATAAGAAGCACGCTTTGCAAGCCATTGAGCATCCAACATTTGAAATGCTACACAGTACAGGTTATCAAAAGCCATTTCATCTTCACTTAGCAGCTCTAAGAACCGGATTCCAGCCACAGAAGCTGGTTTTCCTGCAAAGAAAGGACTACCATAAGTTTTCTTTTCCAGTAAAAGTTTCTTTCCTAGATTCTCTACATTTTATTTATTTTTTCTAGAATATTTTAGACACCTGATTGAACAATTGATCACCTGTGTGTGTGTGAGAGAGAGAGAGAGAGTAGACTTTTGTAAGAGACATTTCACATATGACAATACAAGGGGAATGGGTGTCAATTAGATTTTGATTAGGGATTAATCCGTCTCATGAGGGGGGGGCCTTGCTAAATTTTATCTTTGCAGGTCTAAACCTCAAATAGTTGTCAAGTTGATGCTCATATGCTTAGGTGTAAGGTGTTTTTTGGGAATGACTTGTATCTCACCTTGATGTTTCCTAAGGCTCAGTTTGGAAAGAGTACAAATACAAATATGTACAGTGCAAATACATACAAAATAATACTAAATACAAGGTTTTGCACACTACATATTTGTATTTTTACTCTTTCCAAACTAAACCTAAGTAACAGGGAACTCCATTGTCACCCTGCCTCAATTTAGTGCCAACTATGTAACCTTCTTTTTTATCCTTCTCTTTCTTTTTGTTTATCTTTAACTTTTTAAATATGTGAAAATTTCCAAGAAACAACAACTTTATGAATACGTTAAAGCAGGTGAGAACAATTTTATGAACAAATGCTATTGATATTTCAATGGAAATTACATTACAATATAACAAGTAAAAAAATCATAATAATGGACTAATGTGTGATGTTAAGTGCTTGTAAGAAAATTTTAAGCAAGTCTCAAAGAAAAGAAATTGAAGAAGGGTCAAATAGCAAACCAGTCAAACCTTGTTTGATTTGGCTGAAATTTGGTGGCATTAAAGTACACTTATAGTACTCCAATACTATAAAATTTTAGCTCAGTCCAATATGTGGAAGTGCCCCAACTAAAGACTTCAAGTTGGTTGGTTTTTGGGTTCTGCGAGTCATGGTCAAAGTCCTAATCAACAAGTTGACCAGTAGATCATATTAGCATTTATAGTAATTGTCGTCATTACTATTTACAGTTAAAGATGACTTATTATTTTTAGTAATATCTAGTTTCTTATGTTTAGTGGAACTAATCAACTAGAGAGTCGGTGTCCTAGTTTGAAAAGGAAGTTTCTTCCTTTTTTTGTAGTTTGAATACAAGTAGGAGTTAAGAGTCTTAAGAGTCCAAGTAGGAAATTGAAAGTTGCTATTTTAGATCAATAAAAGAGTGTCAACATATCTTATGGAGAACAACCTATCCTATTCAATTGTTTTCCCCCTACTAAGGGCTGAATAAAGAATTTTTCTGTTTCTACCATAGCAAGCAGCTATAGTAGAACTTAATTCTTGCTTCCTTTTCTATTGTCTCTTCTTTATTTGCTTATTAATACTTGTAACTGAAGCCTATTGTTGCATGTTAGAAATTTTCTGCTTCGATGTGCCACTAGGTTTCAACCTACAATTTGGTCAACTATGACACTAAAGAAAGGTTTAAAATGCCAGTTTTAGTGAAAATGTTGACCCTTAAAAATAAATAAAAAATGCAGAAACTATCAGAAATTTCATTTTGAATTATTGTAAAGATTTTAGAATGTTATATCAGGGGGTGTTCTTTTCATGGTTGTATTCGTGTTTCATTTGGCTCACAAATACAACCAACATTCTGGAAGGCATTTGCAGCTGGTTCTAGAACCAGTAAACCATGGGTTCAGAACCAGCAAAATCCCCATTTTTTGAACACTACGAAGGATAGCTTTTTGGAAACAACCACATGGTTTAAAAAGAAGGCTGATGTGGCCAAGTGATTCTATGTATCTCAGACCATATTTTTATATTGTATAAAATGCAATATATATTTTATACATGTGAAAAAAAAATTATGATTATATATACTTGTTAACAAATTATATGTACTTTTACATATTATATTATATTATACTTTTAACATGCTATATATTATTGTTCACATATGATAAGCAAATAGTTGTATAACCAAAAGTGAATTACGGTAGATGAATTGCTTCTATACATGTGAGTCACACAGAAAAGCTGACAGTCTGTTGAGTCCAATAAATGAACCACGAACAGAACAGTGGTCGTGGTTCTATGTGATTCAGAACACAACACAACCATACATAACAAAATGCCTATGATAGTTCAAGACCAATATTTTCATTTTCAAAAAGAGGAAGTATTGTTCTGAAACACAACCACCCTTTTTCTGAACCACTATAAGAACACCCCCTTAATCTTTGAAAACATTTGTTATTATTGTTTGGAATCGTAAAAGTGCATCCTCTTTTAAACAAACTTTCACTATAAAGTGATAAAAGTAATGTTCATATTACTTTTATGGTCTCTTTCTCCACTAGAAGGGATTTAAGGGTTTAAAAATCATTATACCACTATATCCTATTATACAATATACAAAAAAAAAATGTTGATATGTAAATATGTATAATACTTATGCTATTATATGTTTGACCTTTTATAGGAGTTTAAAATATTAAAAATCAACCATATTTAATTAAATTCTGTACAGTTAAAAATATTTCACAACAATAAAATAAGGAGCTGTCTATAATGGTAAACTTGCAAAAGAATAGATAAAGTTAAAATACATTTATGGATGATATCTATGTATACGTAAACATGTTAAAACAATGCAAAAGATAATAAAGCACTGGAGAATAATTCAAGATATATTCGAGTAATATGTCATATTGGAACTCATGAAATAAAAATGTTTCATTGAAATATTAGAAAAATATGCTAATCTTTTAAGCCATGCAGTAAAGTCCAATCTCTTAATTTTCAGATATGATGGGTATAAAATAAGAATGAAAGGTGAAATTTGTTAATGATCAAGGTCTTCATCACTTCAAAATCAACATGTCACAGGAGTGTACATACAACTCTTTTTTTTCATTATTTTGTGTACATACAACTCAAGCAACAAAGTTCTTGAACAACATGCAGTGAATGAAGCAAGACAAAGGCACAATCTGTTCTGTATACCTGAGTGTAGGTCCAACATTTGTACCAACATGAAAGATATATTGATACCAGCCACAGCAAAGGGATACTCCCACTCAGATCTCCTCCCTTCTTTCTTGTGTACTAGACTCTGGAACGAATCCTGCACAAGGACAGAAAACAAGAAAATATATTCTAGGTTTTTATCTTCTCCTGTTTATGTGAAAAAAATACTTTACTATAACAGTCACAAAAAATAATAATTTAAAACATTTTCTTCTCAATTAGAAGAATTATATTTCTCATTTTTTTCAGGACCACTTCAAAAGTTGCAGGCATAATATAGCATAAACTTGTATTAAAGTATAAAAAAAGGACTATTAAAACATTCTAACTGATAAATAGATAAAAAATTATTAATAACATTTTCTGTTATTGATCAAAAAAATAAATGGACAAAAGCTTTGATTTGACTTAGGACACTGGAAAGTAGATAAAACTTGAAGTAGAAATAAGTAAACTTCTGCAAAAACATGTAGAGCCAAAGCACAGGCGTGCAACTGCAGATTGGAAACTCAGGAAGATCACTGTTTGGAAAAGGGGAAATAACTTAAGGATTAACCTTCAATCTTAATGGTCGACAGATTTTCAGGTTACTTGAAAATTTAAAGGTAAAGCCAAAGGTTGAATTCATGGACAAACACAAACCCATTTCTTAAATGAAAAGACACTAATTTAATACAAAGAATCCAATACAAATCCAATTTGACACTTTGACTTTACAATAAATCACTACTTGGGAAATGACTTTGGAGGTTAGCAAATAAAAGAGCACTTTGCAGGAAGGTTATTCCCAAAGGTTATTACTTTGGGAAAGTATTGATACTGTTAAAGTGAGCCGAATAGGGGTAGTTTAGTCATCTCATGTTTGTTAAGTACCTTGCTTATGTGGCAGTTTTATTAGAGATACTCTGCCCACACTTAAGTAAGGGCAGTTTAGTCTTTGTAAAGGTAAGGTTATTAGAACCTAATAAACATTACGGGGTCGAATGAACAGTGAACGAATTAGTTTTGACTAAACCCTCCTGTTCTCTCTTTCTCTTTTCTTCTTCTTCCTTCTCTCCTGGTTCGGGTYACTGTAGCTGCATTYGAAACATGGTATCAGAGCGAGGTTCCTGACCTGCTTCAGTTTGTAAAGCATCTCAGCTGTGTTCGTGACACCTTCTTCTTCGTTTCTGGTTAGTTAATGGAGATAACTGGTTCGCCCTAGGTCTGAGACATCACAGCTCATTTCTCTCTGCTGCGCACAGTCTTCTTCATCAAGGAAAGTGATTTCAGCAGTGAATGGTTGGTTGATACTCTCAAAGGAAGGTTGGTTATCTAGTCCTTTTGTGTTGCTGATATTTCTGGGTAGAAACCCTCCAAGAATCAGTTAGTACTGATTAGAACCTAGAGAACTAGGTTCATTCTTTCCCTAGAACGGGCTGTGTACAATAGCCGAATGGTGTAGGGGCTGCTGTAAGTGGTTGAGTGGGTTAGGGCTGTTGTAGGTGGCCGAGTGGTGTAAGGTGTAATGCAGTGACCTAGTCGAGTTCTTTGTGGTTGTATAATGCCCTCTTAAATGTGTTAAACAAGTCTGAACTGGGTGTAGCAGATTTGACTGTGTTATGGTGCTTGTGGTGCACAACTTCTATTGAGTGGTTGTAAGAGGGCCTACATGTGATTAGTGAGTGCTAAATTGATGCTTATGTGGTTCGTGGGTTTGTGAAGACAGCAGTAGTGTGAATGAGA